TCCGGTGCGCTTACCTTGTCTTCCCACAGGGCTAGTAGCTTGCACTTGTTGCATGTGTAGGCCATGTTGACCTCAGGCAAGAAGACAAATCTTGCACAGACTTTGCAGGTCGCCACCACTGGGTCCATACTCTCTGCTGCCTTTTTGGTTCTACCTTGCTGGTTATGCTGTAACAACCAGTGCTTTCTCCTGACTTCCCTGAAAGTTAACAACAGGCTCCCACCAGAAAATTAGAGTGTGTGTTACAAGGAAAAAAGGCAGATCGGGGCGGGGGGGAGAGAAAAAGAAAGAAAAAAGTTAGGGACTTCTCCACTGAACTCCACTAGCAAACTCTTCTTAGCTCTCCCTGTTCACTCGCTCTGATCGCCTGCTCTCTGGGAACCTGGTTGCTTGTACACAATAGTCCCTAGAGCAGTTGGGGCAGCTTCCTCTGATCTGCTCAGCTGGGACACAGAAAGACTCCTGATGAAAACAAAAGAAGGAAGTGCAAAAGCAGGACTGCAACTGAACATCCAGAAAACAAAAGCCATGACTACAGAAGAATTATACAGCAATACTATGAATAATAAAGGCATTGAAATTGGGAAAGATTTTGTATATTGGTTCAATCAGCAATTCAAAGAGAGACTGCAGCCAAGAAATTCAAAAAAGACTGAGACTTGGCATGGCAGGGCACCAATGAAGGAACCAGAAAAGATCATCAAATGTAATGAAGTTTCACAAGACACCAAGGTCAAGATCATTCACACCACTGTATTCCCAATCACAAAGTAAAGATCTGAAAGCTGGAAAAGTGAAGAAAGGTGATGGGAAGAAAACAGATGTGCTCAAAACACAGTATTGTTGGAGAGCTTTGCAAACACCCTGGACCTACAGAAAATCGACACGTAGGTCCTAGATCAAATCAAGCCCGAACTTTCCTCCTAGAAGTAAATATGACGGCACATAACAACAGCAGCTACCCAACTGACCATGATAGTAACATAAGCCTTAGCTATGGTTGAGGTCAGCAGGAATTCACACCTGAGTAGAAAAGAAATTCACAATACCATACAGGCTGTGTTTCAGCTGCACAACACCTATATGACTAAAATATTCAACAGAAAATTTCGGAGAAAGGAACAAGGTACTACAGTCAATTAAGTGCTAACAACTCCTTTCTTACTAAAAATGAGACATTTCCCTTCATGGACAGATGAATGAAGAGAAGGAAAAGGTGTGCACATGCATTTTTCTACATTGCATGTACAACGTCAATCACTCCTGAATAACCTGTGAAGGGTTAGCTACTCCTTTTCATTTTGCAATATGCACACTCGCTTGGTTTAGACACTGGAAAAATCAGTGCTTCCATGCACTTTCAAAACAGCAGTCTTGTCCTTTAGGGGCCCCGTCATTTTCAGCTGCTGAAGACGAACACTAAGTAGGAAGTGCATTGATGTCCCCTTCATTAAGGATAAAAACTGTTGATTAGTAATTATTTTTTCACAGTTCCTTATGTGATTGAAACAGAGAATTACAATTAATACAACTTGACTGTGAACGGTATTCCTTCTTTTCAGCTATGTTGGAAAAGTCTCAGTTAAATAGTTTCAATTTAGAAATTGCATTTTGTTATCTTAATATTGCTAATGCAGCTACATCCACACAAGAAATACGCAGTGGGGAGGAATCAATCATGTGCAAATTCCTACTGGGTTTATTTACCTTGAGCTAATGGCACATAAAATGCTTCACCTGAGGAAAAGAAATACTGGAAGAAATACATACAGCAATGACAGCCAGCAACTAAATACTCGTTAACTGATATAACATTCTTTATCTGCTAATCAAGGAGCATGGTGCTCACCAAGTGGGCCCCTTACCTCTCCTTTATAGTTCACATTAATCATGATACAAGGTTGCATCTGACCTGATGCTAACCAAGGTTAATACAAACTGGGATTTCCCTGTAATCATGGTTTGAATCAGACAATCTGATTTGCATCCAGCACTTATGACAACATCTTAAAAGTATGGGAGAGAGGGAGGGACTTGTGAGGATATGGAAGCGGTCACACAAACCAAGGGCATCTTAACCAACGCTACGTCACCAGGAATTTTACATTTTTACCAGGCTTAAAGATGTGTGGTCTTTTTAGTAATGAAGCCTTGGCCATTTATTGAATCACTTTACAGATTTTCCATGTGGCCTTTTCCTAAGTGCCTTACCAGTTCTCCCCTTTACATAGGGTTATCTAAATAGCTAAGAGACCCTGGAGAAAACTAAACAAACCACAGACTTCCCTCAATTGCATATCATGTCAACCAGGCAAGAAAGTCAGGTTCTTCCCTGTAACTATTGTTCTTTGAGTGGTCATCTGTGCACCACAGACAGGGGCTCTTCACCAGCGTGAGGCCTATTGTTGGAAAGAGCTCATGACCAGAATATCTAGGAGGGGTTCCCACCCACTTCCTTCCCACAAAGGGAAGGTCAGTGATGACAACATCGAGGCGCTGCAATATGTAGTAGCTGAGTGGCACTGATCTGGGGGCGGTGGGTGGGCTGTGTGAATGCACAAAGACCACTCAAAGAACAACAGATACGGAGAAGCAACCTGACTTTCTTCTTCGTGGTCTTTGTGCAGCCAGAGTTGCAAGTGGGAAGATGCCCTAAGCAGAGAACGGCAGATAGGATTCCTGTATTCCAGCAACAGTCTTATTTGGGATATACGTTGAGCCAAGAATGTTTGACAAACACCATTTGTGTGCACTATGTGGATGACTTGCAGAAGTCATGAAGGGGATGCCAGCATGGAGGGCCACTGAGACAGCCATCTCCCCGAGCAGAATGGGCAGGAAGCCAAGCTCTGTGTTCAACAGAGCACCGGTTTAGTCTGAAGGATTCCTGCTCAGCAAAGGTGGAAAATGCAGTCCATTCAGTCATATATGTTCCTCATAAAAAGCTTTCAAGCCACATCCCTGGATCACTTGGACGTTCACTTGTAGGTGTGTGGCTTGTTCCACCACTGAACCAAGGTAAGAGGCACAGGGTGTTGATCCCTCAGGTCCATGGAGTCAAGGTCCGGTCTGATGGGAGGCAGATAAACATTCTGTTCAACATTCAGAGCGGATATGCAAACCATGGCTGCCTACACCATGGGCTGATGAGGATGCAAGTTGTCTCATCTCTGCAAAGCACCCTTGGGATGCCCAGGAATGGTTGGAAGAGATAGAAGTGTGTCCCCGTCCAGAGGAGGAGGAATGCGTCTCCATCAAACCCTTGACCGTTCCCACTTGTGGATGTGGATCTCAGATGGAACTGGACCTAAGTTGGTCATATAAACCCTGTAGCTGAGGCAGGAAAGTCCGGTCTCAGTCTTGAGCTGGGAGGAAGCTGAGGCGGTAGGGGGCAGATCAGCTCGGTGGCGAGTGCCCAACTGTGCTCCGCCTGGCAGTGTTCAGGATGGTCATCATCCCTGCATCTTGGTGTGGGTGGTAGATCTCAAGGTTCATCATACAGTCTCCCCGCACCCTCAGCTTGATCAATGACGTGGTGGGGTTGGCCCACTGGCACACGGGATCCAGGCAGAGCAGCAACTCAGGTCAGTCCTGACAGCGAGACTGATCGGAGGTGGGGTATGATGGCACTGGAGAACAAGGGCAGGGCGGGGTGGCAGCAAAGGTGGCATGGCGCAGAATAGAGGAGACTGGCCTGGGTTGTAGTGAGGCGAGAAGAGACCGACGCGACAGAGCTCTCAGGGGGGAGCTGAGACGGTATGCAAGGCAGGGAGTTGCAAATCCTGTCCTCGAGAGCGAAGTGGCCAAGCCCAGGTCCAGGCCCAGTGGGCAAAGTTGATCCTGGTGCCCCTTTGATGAGGCTGCTGTCGGTGCAGATGGGGATCGGGGAGCTTGCTCCCACAGTGCATACATTTCTGAAACAGTGCCTTGAGTGCTATCGGGAAAGAAAGCAAGTTGGGGGGAGAAAAAGACTGGCAAATAGAATGTTTTCTGTTTGTTTTGTTCCTTGGTATGATAAGTGAAACAAAAAGGGAGAGAAAACTGTAGGCAGAAAAAAGAAGAAGAATCAGAGCGATGCAGTGCAATTCCAGAGGCACCCACAACAATGGTTGGTGGCCAGGGACCATCCTAGATATACTGGGGGAGGGTCCCATCAGTCTATCAAGGAAATCTGCCTACGCAGCAAGACCTTCACAGGCACAGAGCCCATATGTATGATGCACAAAGACCACAAAGAAGGAGGAACCAGGCAAGCCATATTCCTCGTCTGCAAACTGCAACGAACCAATCACAGAAAATGGGACTGCCCCAGCCCCCCACAGACAACCCATGGCCTGTTCTCCTGGTGCTCACCTGAGTGACTTACTCACAGGTAAGGGATGTGAGCAGGGACACAGTACTAGCTGAGATTCTTGCAGCATCCCCAACAAGCCAGCTCCTGTCTCAGCAGCTAACTTCCAAGCAGAAGCAGGCTGCTCCGGGACCGAAGCCATGCAGCCGAGCTGACTGCCAGCTCCCACCTTCTGCCCCAGAGCAGGTCTCACAGGCAGGAGGCAGAAGGGACCCCTGAGGGGCAGTTGTCAGCCATGACTTTGGGTAGCCACTTGGCAAAACCCTCTTGAAAGCAGCACCCTTGAGACTGCTTTTCTTACCATGGTTCTCAAACATGGTAAGTCACAATGGTAAACTGCCTCCATTGGATTTGAACACTGTGACCAAGAATTACTGATGACAATCATGGGTTGCTGGCTGTGTGCTGAGAACCCAGTCAGTGTGTACTGTAACCCCAACCCTATCCTATCGCCAAAGTAAAAAGCAAAGCAAAACCCTTAGCAGATGCGTATCTTGACAACATGCGGGCTGCACACACAGCTACAGGAACACATTTGGTAACGATAAGCATGCTGGAGCAACAAGCATGGCTTTTGGCTTATTATGATGTGCAAATGCAGCCAATATGAAATTAATCTTGGAATGGTAATTAGGGGAAAACATCGTACCTTTTGCATCATCAGAGCCTGAAGCCAAGAGTTTGGGGTCCATTAGATTAAAGTCCACACTCCAGCATCTTTTCTCATGTTCCTGTTACGAGAGAAAGGAACAGAATCAACCTACTTCTTAAACATAAGCAAATGAATACTGAAAAACATGACATTTTGCTAAAATTAATAGGAATGAAGCTCTATTTTGATCTGGTCCAACAAAGCAACAACCCAGAGTATGGACTGAGAATGGGCTGCATTTGAATTGTGGGCTGTTGGTCAAATTGCAGATTGTCTTTATTCACAAACTGTACATTGTGGTTTAACTATGCATTGTAACACCTCAAATTATTTATTTTTGATATGGTATTCCGTTATTTATATTTTACAAGTATTTTCAGAAACGCAATGTTTTGTTTTGTAAATATATATAGGGTTCCATTCCACCATGAACATCCTCAAAAAGGATGCAACTTTCAGTCCAAGAGGGTCAATTTGGACTCCCTGAGCTTTCCTTATGCTGTTGTTGACTTGCACTAGATTCTTGTCTTCCCCACTTCTCTCTCCTTGGTCTTCATTTCTGGATCCTATTCCTGCACCAGGCTCTTGTCGCAACAAAATAGGTAACATGCCCCCTCCAGTTGTGGCAGCAAGAGAGCTGTGGCATATATTTTCACATCAGCGGCTGTTTGACATGGTTGCACATGCAAAATGAACTCTATGGGGAAATTCAGATTTAAATGTCTATTTGGCAGACTTGGCTGATCGACATGTTAGATCAGCTTGTTGGTCCTGAAGATAGATAGGTTTTTGTCATTTTCCACTTTGCATGCTAATTATAGATCACCAGCTATTGCTGTATGAACTCAAACATCTGTTAGAATCTAGGTTTGGCCCTGCTGCTTTTACAGCTTCAGAGCTGCCTGTGTTCTTTTAAGTATGGACTGAGTCTAAACGGCTACATCACCCTACAGTTTATGTATGTTACTGGTGAATAAAGGTGATAACACATGGCCTCAACCTAGAATGAAAAACAAACGTGGAGAAGCTCACTTTGCCCAATCAATGGAGAATTTCACTGACATCTATTCCGGAAAGGACAATGAATCTTAGGCTAGGCTTAATTCAGCAAAAACTGATGTTTTAAGTATTCTGGACACTATGACATCCCTTTGATAAGAGCTTAATTAAATTGGTCAGTTGTTGGAGGTGTAATACTGCTAATGCTTCTTCTCTTTGTATGTTTCAGCAACACCCAAAGGGAAATTTCTTTTGGGAGAAGGTAATAACTTGGCTACATATTGTGATGGAAAGTTATTTAATATTTAAAGATGTCCTTTTGAATGACTTATTCATCTCTTGGAATGTAATGCAAAGGCCATGCAAACTGATTTTCTGAGCCCCCCTGACTGCTACAAAGCTACTGCTAGAACACTAGAAGGATAAATGACCACTTGTAATAACAATGAGAGGAGAATTTAATGAACATTTCAATTTTTGAATATGTGGTATTTCAGTATAATCTACAAATGGATAAATATTATATTTGTGGTGACGTATGTTTATGCATACTTATTTTTAGGAATGGAAAATATTTTGTTATAAACTACTTACACAGAGAGCAGAGTACATGTGTGTCACTATGGATCTTTCTAAATCTTTGAGGGATCTTTCTAAATTTTATCCAAAAAATGTAATGTTTTAGTTTATTTTATTCCTTTTTGAAAGGTGTGGTTTGGTTTCATTTTTGTAACACTCAATAAAAAATAAATTTTGTATTTTAAAACCCTGTTGGTTGTTAATTACAAATAGCCCTGAGTTCGCAACCAAACAAGAAGCCAAGGTTTCTTTTCCTGGGTTGCGCATACTCTACAACTAAAAGTTAAACCATAGTGCAGGGTTTATATTTAAAGATAACCCACAATTCAATGACAAGCCAGAATTGACTGAGGGTCCATACTCAAAGTTGTTGTTACATGAGAATCAGGTGAATCTTAAATAATGATAACTGCTGTCTTTTCCCACCCAGACAAATCGTGTGCTCTGTTTGAAGGAACCCCTCAGAGAAAGAACTGATACCAAGCTTCTTCTTTCCCTTTTTCCAACTACCCGTCTTTGCATCCTGAAAGATGAGGAGCTCAGATTGTTATTACAGTCTGTGCTTTGGCTTATTATTGCTTCCCAGTGGGCTTTATTCTTTTCTTAACAGAAAAATTGTCAAATACTAAATATGTAGATTTTGCCTAGAAATGAATACATTAACCTCTTGGGGGCTCATGCTAAGCAATATGTTGCCCCTTAGACAGCAGTATTCCCAGAGCTAGAGAAACTCTATTTAACTTTTACTAACAAATCCATTTCAACAACTCTTCTCTGAACACTGGGCACGTATATTTAGTTCAACCTACATAGAAACATTCCAGTGAAAAGAGTTTTTAATCTAGAAAAGGACAATGTAAATCACCAGAGCATGGAACAGCATGGCCAAGTAACTGAAGAAACAATCCAATGCATGTCCCATACCTTTTGTCTATTAAGCTCCTCAACCAAGATCAAACATACCCTTGTACTCCTGGATAAGCACTGCAGCCACGTGCGACAAGCAGCAGGCTGAAACAGCAATCCTAAGCATGCTAATTTCCCACTGGCTGCAGCCCATGCACAGTAGTTATTCCCCTATTTTAATCTGTAAGTATCTACCAGCCACTGATTCATTGGAACAATTTATTAGTGTACATATGATTATTCTAATAAAGCCTTAATAAATGGATGAAAATGACTAAAAAGCTTTTAATTTCCTGTAGTTGTGAGGCATCGCAGCCCTGTATTGGTAAATGTCAATATTAGGGAGATGAAAGAAAGAAAGACAGACAGACAGACAGAATGAATAATGCATTGAAGGCACTGGGTAGTTCTTAGGATCTAGTGGTGAATGAAATTTGGTTTTGATGTTTACACCAGGCAGCAGCGGCTGGCCACTCCAATGGCATGTGAGCCATGAACCCACTCTGGGCTTTGATCTGAACTTCAGAGGAGCTGTTCAAGGTGCTGAACCTATTTCAAGGGTGGGCTTCAGCAATTTCCATCTCCTCAGGAATGGAACTTGTTTGTAACCCAGGGGCTGCCTGCACCTTTTCTCATCAGTGTCCTACTCATAGTTCACAGATCGTTCATGCTAATCGTCAAGCATTTTTAATGGGTACACATGTTTATCACATTAACAGGACAGTGAGAGCTCCTGTCCTCATTCTCCAATTCTTGCTTATTTTTAGATACACGAATTCATATTGACTATGACAGCATTTATAAATACATTCTGACAAAGAGGAAATGAGAAAGCTCTGAAAAGATCCTTCCTTTCAAGGATCTTGTAACTGTTCTTTGTGAACCAAAAAGTGCCGTTTCTTTACCTGGTAGACTTTCGACCGTTGCCCCGTAAACCCGTCCCACAAGATGACGGTGCCTTCGTAGTCACTGCTGGCCAGGAGGTTTTTGTGGTAACTGCTCCAGCTGATACAGCTGTAAGAGAGAAATGATCCCCAAATAAGAAAGCATTTTCTTTTAAACTACAACTGAGAGCAGGACAGGATGAGAACTGCAACAGCTCAGAGTCATTCATCCATCAGTACTAATTGTTGCCTAATTAGGGCAATTTCATCTGTTGATTTCCTGATCATTCTCTGCCTCCAATTCTTCTTTAAAGTCAGCTTCATTGGATTATGCCATGTTAAACAGTAGATGCAATTAGTAATAAAAGTTGAAGCTGTTCTTCCCTTACCGTAAGGACATTTAACATATTGCTTCATTTTTAAGTGTGCTGAAAACCCTGTACTTCCCCTATAAAATCCTTGCTTGAGGTGTCAACAGTCCCGCTAGAAAGCAAAATAGCACACTGGAATGAAAGGATCCAGTCTAAAGTATGACCTCTTAAGCTTCTTTACCCTACTAAAATGAGAGCACTGGCATGGCCGTCACGGCTGGGATTACTGTTCACAGGACCAAACATCTGCTGCTCATGATCTGATGAGATCCAACGTCTGGTTGCGGCTTCGCTGCCTGCTCCTTTCCACTATTTTAATCCCAATGACAACTACCATACAGTGCTTCCCACTTCGTTTCTGCCCTCGAGGCCAAGTTGCCCTACACAGCATTTTATTCTGCTTTGCTTCCTACTTAAGCAGCCTAGTCAATCAGCATCTTTTGTTTTGGCGTGCTGTCAATTTCCTCTAGAATACCTGCACAAAAGTGTCCAGGTTCTTCTTCTTCTTCGGCATCTGTGGCTGGAACAGTGCCTCAAACGATGGTTATGTTGATAGGTTTTCCACTAACTGATACTATCCAACTGGATTTTGTGTGATAGGCCCGTGCTGCTTGTGCTGCGTCCTTCCTCAGCACTAGAGGTACTCCACTTCTTCGGAGTTCGCCATTCCCAAAGCCAAACATTGGCTTTGCCCCATTCCAGTCCATTTCAGTTTGCTTATACCAAGTGCTGCACTGTTTAACTGTTCCACTTCCTGATCTACAATTTCCAATTTGTCTTGGCTCACAGATCCCAAATTCTATGTTCCAACTGTGTGCATTGTACAACGTATCCTGGGAGTGAGAAAGACCATGACTTTGGACACTCAATCTCAAGGACAGTACTGGCTGGGCTGCAAAGGCATCAGAATCAGAATGTGAAGCACTGGGGGGGGGGGGGGGTAGAAAGGTGGACCAAGCTGAGACACTGAGATGAAAGTAAGAGAAAACACATGTCTGAGTCTGAAAAAAAGCCAGATTCCCCAGGTGGGCAGGCAGTTCCTATGAATATTAAAAACTTGCCAAGAGCTCACAATGTTCCTGTCTTTTAGCCCCTTCCAAACCGGTCTTGTAATTCTCTTATATCTGCTTGCTCATGTTTTTTTTACACTTTTTTGGGGAGCACTTAAAATATTTGCTAGTTGCTAATGTATCAAGGCACTTCAGTACTTAGAAAATGGTTAAAGGAACAGAAGAATTTTCAGACATGATCAAATTAGAAATGGGGCAATACATTTTGCCATATAATTTCTAAATCTAAAGATAATATTTTGGTAGCAATGCATTTAAATATATTATAAACAATATATGAAGGAACTCAGCGAATTACAGCTTCTGTCCAATCCCAACATGAAAAGCAAGTTCAGATGTGTGGCAGGGATACTTGCTGAACCAGTTGCACTTAGAGGAAATTCAGAAGAGCACACAATAGAAAGAAGCAATGCTCCCCACAACCTTGACAAAGTCAGGAAGAAACAACTGGATGGGAGGCGGAGCAAAGTGGAGCAGGGGAAATGTGCAGGTTGCAGGAGAACCCAGGTGCAACCCCTGGGATCTCTTCACATGTTGCAATAAAAAACTCACTGAAGTTTTTGAACAGTCTTCAAAGGTAGCCTCTTGTACAATGCTGGCGGGACTTCTCCACCTAGGATTTGGGAGAGCCCCTGCATCAGAGCTCACCACAGCAGGCTAGATGGACCATGCCACGGGTCTCATGTGCAAACACTTTTGGCAGCGCCTCTGAGAACATCCTTGCTTCTCACCTGCCTGAAGCTGAGCATCAGCAAGGAATGTACCTGAGGGACAGCAGGCAAAAATGCTACAGGCTTCCCTCTCTACTGCAGAGCTCAAAGCAAGTGGAGAGAAGTTGTTGGAGGCCCAATAATTGGGAAAAGGAGGGATAAGTACGGCTGCGCCTTCAAGAATGGGAGTGCTCACATCCTGATGCACATCTTAATTATGGCTGAGAACCACTCAGGTAAGGTTAGGCAACATCCAAATTGGCAGATGAAAAATACTATAGTTTGTAATCACTAAGCAGCCCCTTAACACGTTTTAAGTTTCTTCACACACCATAAAACTTTAATACTATTTTATTTCAAATCAAATTATCATGCTAGACAAAACAATCTACTTCCCATTTATTGATTTCTCTTCATCACCTCAAAGCATACTATAATGAAAAGGCCACTTTCTTTCCAAAGAATGTAGAATGGCTCCAAAGATTGATTAAACAGGCCATTTTGCATCAAAGAACAATTCTGTTTATATCATACACCTCAGCCTGCTCATGACTATCTCAGGACAAACCCAACTTTTTATATATACCAATTTACAAGATGTACTAAACAAGATCCTCCAAATTACTGTGATCATGGGAAGGCTATTTTTTAAAACCATGTGTATCAGACTTAGCACCCTCCAGAAGTAACATCATCACAGAATAGTAAAAGCTGGAAGGGGCCAAGAAGGCCATTGGCTCCAACTTGCTCCTGCTGCAGGACACAAGTTTATACCGTCCTGCTCAGAGGGCTGCCCAGTTTCTTTCAGAATGTCTCCAGTGTGGGAGAGCCCCCCACCTCTCCAGGCAGCTGGTCCCACTGCTGTACTGCTCCGACAGTGAGGAAACCTTTCCTGATATCTAGCCTGAATCTGGGTTGTTGCAAATTGAGTTGATTATTTCGTGTCCTAGATCTTGACTTTCCTCTTTGTGACAGCCTTGGAGGTACTTATAGAGTGATACCATGTCCTTCCTCAGTCTTCTCTTCTCAAGGCTGAACATGCCCAGTTCCCTCAGTCTCTCCTTGCAGGGCAGTGTTTCCAAACCTTGGGTCTTTTTTGTTGCTCTCCTCTGAACCCTTTCTAATTTTCCAACAGGAATGCTGGGACTAAACCTCTGGACAACATCAGGTTGCGTAAGACCAAATTAAGAAAATTATGAAAATGAGATCGTTTGAAAAACTAATATTACTTAGGAACATTAAATTACTTAGGGACATTCTGTCACACACAAGAACAGATTCCTACAGAGGAAAAAAATCAATTCAGAGCTTCGTCTTTTCCTGTTTATAAATAAAGATGAAAGGTTAGTGTGTGCCATCAATGTGCACGGCACTTTACGTAGCACAAGAAGCCCTGTTCTTCTGGAGTGAAGCTTACGATCCAATTTTTGGCACAGAGGAAATAACTGAGGAAGGAAAGCAAGTAGTGCTAGTAAAGGCTCAATGCTGGTAGTTAAGCTGAAACTCAGTCCCAGCAAGACAGACTAAATGTTAGGTAGCTCATCTGCTCAGTGACATGGTGTTCACTGTGCTCTGGATAATGCAGCAAGCCTAGAGCAGTCTGGAGCTAGAGAAGGTAGAACCAGCTCTGTCACTGGAGGCCCAGAACAGCATCTGTGAGGGATTTAGATAGGGTGGGAACCCCTAGAATATCACTGCAGGGTGGGAGGGATTTATATAGGGAATTTACATAGGGTGGGAACCCCTGGAGTATCACTAATATCACTGTACATATAGTCTATTTAAGTAAGAGACTAGAACATACACAGGAAGGTATGAAAAAGACAGCAAAAAGATTTGTATTATACTTTAAGTTCTGTTATACAATGTGCAGAGAGGTACAGTTTTCCCTATTACCAGACCAACAAAAACACACAGCAAAACAGTAAAAATAGCCTGCAGGGGTAGCAAACAAGCTGCACTGCATAGGGTGTCTTGCACCTCCTCAAGAACGGGGACGACAATGACCGGGGGGGGGGGGACGACGACAGTGCACCATCCCTGCACCTCCAAATCAAAGAAAAGGGGCAACCCACATACCTGATTTTGGAATTACAGGTCATTTCATTCTCTGGGTAATGAATATCAACTGCATCCTGGATCACTGTGCCATATTCATACACTTTAATCTTCTTTGTCACCCCGGCAATGGCAAAATAGTCACAGTCCCGGTCAAACTCAATACTGAGAAACAAAAGCATGGACAAAAAGGGCCTTTTAACATCTTAAGTGTGTAAACAGAGCGTATGCTTAGCATCGTCATCGTGTTCTTACCATACGTACTTTGCCTGTTACAGGCATTATTTGAGTTAGGAACAGCAAAACATCTTAATAGAAGAGATGGGTAAGAATTTTGGTACATTTTTGGCAATAACATTCCAAAAGTCACGTTATTATTTCATAAACTGAACAGAAAGAACTTGAGCGTTAAAAGACTGAATGTGAGAGAAATCAAAACTATTTCTCCACATTACCATTAGAGTTTACAAAACCTTCCTCTTGCCCATACACCTTACCCAATAAACCACCATAAATCAAAATATTTAACTTGTCAAGCTATACAAAGGAAGAATACTTCATTTTTCAACAATATACAAAATACATCATGGCAAGCCTCAGTTGGTTGCTCAAGAGTATTCCGCACCTGATTTGGGTCATTAAGTTATCTCAGTATGTACATACTTCATGTCTACCTTCCCACAGACAATGGGTGGATTCCCACAATCAAAGAAACAGAATGAACCACAGTGGCTTACCGTGTCTATTGGTCATGAGATGCCTAATTAACATAATTACCCTCAACTGCTACAGGTTGTTGTGACATTTGAACCTGGCAGAGGTGGGTAGTTCCAGCGTTTGTAGCCTGCCCTTAAACCCTAGAACAGGCCATGAGTTACAGAGTGGTTTGCACACCACCTAGCCTTGCCAGGTTTGGACATCACAACAACCCACATCCAAGGAGGGCAGTTATGCTACTTAAATGGCATGTGCAGGTTGGGAAAATAAACAACTGTGACTGATTTTCTTTCCACAACCATGAAATCCAGATCTAAGAATCTGATGAAGCATTTGAAGAACCTAAGAAGAACAATGCTGGATCCAACCAAGGGTCCATCTACTCCAGCATTCTGTTCACACAGTGTCCAAGTAGTTGTCATGCTCCTTTGGGCATGAGTGCAGCACCCTCTTGCCCACGTTCCCCAGCAATCTGCATACCCCAAAAGAGCCCGAGGCTTATTTCCATTTCTGTGACTGTGTGGACTCATTCCCTACCACGTTCCCCCCAGTAACTCTCCCACAGTCACGTAGCCATGCTCAGATACTGTTTTTCAGTTCCACTCCACACTGCCACATATCCAAATGTCTACACTGACAGCTCATATTATGAAAATGGAGGGGAGGATATGACCCGTCGGGTTGAATAAATAAGCTGCAGGGAACTGTTGATTGATTTCTTTTACAGTTAAGACTCCAAGTACACCTCCGCGCAGGCAGCGCGCACGCACGCACGCACGCACGCACACACACACACCTTTTAAATAGCACAAAACTTTTAAGCTGGAAATGCTAACCATTAGAGTAAAGAAAGGAAAATGCAGGAAAACTTGAGTCAGTTTTACTGAAGGATTTGATGCAACCATTTTCACATCACATTTCACATCACATGCACGCTTTTTCGTGCCCATCATGCCACGGGGTTTGCTGCAGTATTAGATGTTACTATAAATGCAGGCCCACCTGCCAATAAATATGTCATCCCACACGCAGTCGTCCCAAACATGACATGCTGCCCCAGCTCATGCCACAGGCAGCCAATGATATGGAGCAAGCCCACACCGAGTGCACATTCAGTACAGACATGACTGCAAGGAGAGGAGGGAAGCTCAGTGCAGTGGCGGCTTTTTCTTGGCGTCTGTGATGTTATCACCATGCCTCTCTCAACCCAAGGATAATGCTCCATAGAGCACCTCTCCTTTCCCTTTCCTTCCCAGTAGGTCCAAACAGAACCTTAGACGTGCAGTTCTTTTCTTAAAACTTAACAAGTTACAGAAGAGTACAAACCAGAGTAGTGTTCCCTTTGCAATATGAGAGAAGAATCTGTCCGTGTGAAGAGCTGAATCCAGACTGAAAATCCCCTTCCTTTCTGCAAAGCTTCCAACTCACCCCTCGGGGTGGCTCCTGCTGCTTGCAGGCTGGATGGCAGGGACGCCAGGTATGTCGACCTTGGCCTTCTTTACTTGGCTTTTCTTGACTGGGTCAAGGAGCCCCATCCCACCCCCTGCATTCCCTCCCTTTCCAAAAGTCAGGCTGGTTCTCACTCTCTGCCTGAGGAACTCTGCTATGTAACCTTGAAATTGCCAAACCCTCTGCCCACCCCGCTGCTTTCCCGCCTCCTCTTCAGAATTTGACAAATCCATCTGTAATATGTGAGAGACAGGTCTGCTCTCTACAGCCTAGTAGGATTGCAAATCAGAAAAGAGAGCTGGTCACCGATAATGGACATTGCAATTCGTCTTACAAGTGCAGATATTTTTGGAAACTGCCAGAAAATATATTAAGAATCAAAGTTGCAAACAGAACAGTGTCGATTACCAATAGGCAAAGCATCCTTGTCAAATATGAAAGGGGGATGTATGCATGTGAAGTTTATCTGATTCCTTCACAGAACCCTTTTCCACATTTGGAAAAAATGCAGACTCCCCCCCCCCCCCACCATCCTTTGCCAAAAAAAGGGGCATTCTGTCCCTCCTCTGAGACAGAGCAGCGAAAACACTGCTCTTCCAATGAGATGGTGACTCTGCTGATTTCAAATCCCCTTGTCAAACAATGTACAAGATGGCTTCATTAAGCAGTTACCATTCAAGAAAGGGACACTAACCTACAGGTGCAGGCAGGGAAAGCATGTGTACCTAGCCTAGAATGACCAACCCTCTTGGCTGTGGGCACGCTCAGCATCCCCAGGACAGGAATCTGTGGCTTCTCAGCCCTACTATTTATTAGTCTTATTTAATACCTTCCATCCCACTTTTCTGCCAAGGCACCCAAGGCTGTTTACAATTTTTAAATAGTCACATTTGATGTTTTCAGGTTTTAGTGCCAAATCTTTATTTTTTTTAAAACAGTAGTAATGAAACCATTTCAGTTATTGGGATTTATAACAGTTTCTGTCACAAGGCCAGCCACTTTGAGAATCATGAGCAGGAACACCAGAACTGGCCTTATTAATTGGGAGAAAATCCTATTTGGGCTTGCTGAGGATTATTATTAGCTGCCTGAACACACGGGAACTGCACAGCCACTCGGACTGGCTGAGGGTCTATAGAAGACAAAATAATCCCATTTTACTAGATAGATGCCTCCACCTTGACTACCTTTCCTGTTGAAAAAATAAGAGGTCTAGTGTTGCTTTGGTGATCAGCATCGGCCTTCGCAGGCATTTTGCCCAAATGGATGGGAACTGTTAGTCTCTTAACACTGTGCTAGAAGGTCCAGAACACTTTTGCGGTTCCCTTCAGTGCCAGCTAGTCGACGGTTTCTTGGCTATGCCCAGAAGCAGTGATGCTCAAAAGGAGCACCTTGTCCTTTCCTACAGCAGATCATGTTCCTCCGCTTCTACTTCCCCTTTGAGGCCAATTCACACCACCTCTGTCTCACTCTAAAGACGCCTCCTGACAACCGTCTCATGACACAGAGCTCAGTGGAACAGTCTGTATGTCTGACTGTTCCTGCGACCGCCAGCTGAGCACACTTCCTTTCTGAGCCTTGCTAGGCACATAAACAAACCTCTGAACCTTTGCAAATCACGGACCTCTACCATGACGCGTACAAGAATCAGAAAAAAAAAGACAGCCCCAACAACCCGTGGTACACATTGTTCACCTGAATTAAACCACTTGGTCATTAAACCACTTGGTTCAAAACAGACGCAGCGAAGGCCATGTGCCTGCAAGCCAATCCCAGCTAAATACTTGTCCTCTTCAGCCATGATGCACAAGACTTCTGAGGTATGGATTAATGCCTCACAGAAATAATGGTGATTACACTTCAGTGCTGTTTCGTGGAAAAAATAAGGGAGAGAGGTATGTTTCCAGAATTAATTTGTGGATGCTTCCTACGGGAATTGCATTGTGCAGTCCACTTGATTGCCTTGTAGTGCGTTGCCTTGTCAACTCACTCTGCCTCAAAAAGTGTTTTGCGACCAGGAGCCTGCTCCACCGCAATGGATTTATTTGTACCACAATCTTAATTGAACTGCTGTGTCAGCTACTGTTTCGTGCCCTGCGGATTGCGTGATGGCATAACTAAAGTGATGGCAGCTATTTATCTGCTTGGATTCAATTTATACCTTCAGCCTCCTGCTGCTGAAAGAGAAATATTACCATGTCTGGTAAAGGTCCATGGTATAAGAACTAAAAATCCTCTTACCTGAGGAGGTTTTGTTCGGTAGATACACTGACTATATAACCTGCCGATACTTAATCGGCATTAAATGCCTGTAGAACTTCGATAGACTGCCGCACATTATTTTTAACAGAACATAACAGAAACTATGAACACAAGCCTGTGTGACATGGCTTGCGCTGGTTTGATGACCAAAGACATTGCAGGGGGACAGCTAATGAAATTATTAAGAACCATCTTATAAATGTGCCTCTGCTGGCTGGAAAGGGAGCAAACTTTTACTGCTCCTTGAGACATTCTAAAATGTCAAAGCTACTTTGAGGCCTCGCCACTCCGGCTCTAAATGTACACACACTGCACCATTCAGATTCATCCAGCACCACCTACTGCTCTAAGGAAAGCTGCATTGTGCCAGCACGCAGAGCTCTTTTGCATAAAGCCATGCAACAGCCTGATCCCAAGAGTGAAATTTAGGGCAGACCTGAACACAATTCAGTGTTTTTACTGGGCCAGGAGAATGAGCATGACCTCCACCCCATGCCCATCAGGGTTTCTTTAAACTAATTTTCCATTACCTTCAGAACTAGAAAACTGATTTCATTTTCAATTCCGAGACACAATTTGCAACCTGGATCAGATTCTGCTTTCATACCATACCTTGGAGTATAAGATTAAATGAAGCGTTGCAATTTCAGATGCAACAAGAAACTATTACACAAGGGAAACAGGGACGGACATGGACACAATGCTCATCTCTGCCTTAATAGACTATGGTTTATTAA